AAATGAATACATGTGTGTAAGAAATGTGAATGTGAAATTGAGAGGGAAAGGGAAAATACATGTTATTCATGTGGTAAATGAGAGCAAGGCTTATGTATTTGAGTTAATTGTTATGCAAATCTCATTCCACAACGATATTGAGTGCAGTTATGTGAGTAATTTGTACTAATGAGTGTAGACTTTTGGCTAACGCCATTCAAGTTTTGAGTGTATATAAAAGTTTAGCTGTCGAGACTTTCTCTTGCATACTTTTGGGTAGATTTCTTATATATTGACTTGGGTAAAGCTATAAAATGGCTTTGTAAAAGTTCAAAGTTATAGTAATAATAATTTTCATGTATTTTGAGTGATTTGATATAATATATTTAATTATTTTTAAGTGACTGATGATATACAAATAATTTAATTGATTATCAAAAATATGTTTTTATAAAAACCTAATAGATTTTGCAGTTTATTCATTTCTCGGAATTTGGAATCAGTCTAGGAGCGAACGAGCACTTCGTAGTTATCGAGGCGCACCTCCTGTCCACCGAACGGAATGTAGAGGCAGCGATGCGACTGATGGATTTTGCCAGGTGTGAAACTGCCATTGTAGTGGCCACGGCCGATGTACAAGGGCTCGCCATCGTTGGTGCGTCCACAGACAACGGCGCCGCTGGGCACATTGCCAAAGGAGTCGGGCACCCAGCCATATCCATAGCCGGCGAGCAGCTCAAATTCATATTTCACGTGCTCCTGTCCGCCGTATGGCACATACGCGCAGCCCTTGTTTGGTATCACCTTGGCGGGCAGCAGATCGCCCTCGTGGTAGGCGCGGCCCACATAGATGGCATCGCCGTCGACGTCGTGGCCGGCCACAATGGTGCCGGGCACAATATTGCTGCCGGACGAACTGACCCAGGTCTCGGGCTGGACGAGCACCTCGTAAGACTCCAGCCTGTGCTCGGCGCCGCCATATGGAATGTACAGGCAGCCGTGGGAGGGATGCACCTTGCCGGGCGTCAGGCTGCCCTGGAAGTAGCCGCGACCCACGTACAGTGGCTCGCCGTCCGAGGTCTGGCCGACGCGGAGGGCATGAGGCGGCACCTCACCGTTGCTGGCTGGGATCCAGCAGTAATGATGTCCCGTTAGAATCTCGTAGTCGTGCTTGCAGATCTCCTCGCCGCCCCAGGCCACGTAGGCCTGGTGCTTGTTGGGAATCACCTTGGCGGGCAGCATGTCGCCGTTGTGATAGGCGCGGCCCACATAGATGGGATCCTGGTCGGAGTCGTGGCCAGCGGCGATGGCGAATGGCGGCAGAGCTTCGTAAACATTGCAGGCAATCCAGGTGTGTTCTAGAAAAAGGTAAAGTGCAATTTATTAATATATGAGATAGAAGGAGGGAAATGTCTGCATTCTCAATTTACTTAGTTTAATTAATATGACATATTTTTCGATATAACAGTTGCATATAATGTGATATATATTGTATTGAGCGTATATATGTATGCATATATATGTAATTTTGTGTATAAGTGCGTCTTCTCTATACATATACAGCTTAATGTGTCAACGTATATATGTTAATTTGCCAAAATATTCTCTCCTCTCTCTCTGCGTGTTCGTATAAGTTTCTGCCAGCATAAAAGCTCTCTATTCTATATACTATTATACTACTCATATAAGAGTAGGCTGGAACGTTGAGTGAATTCCAGCATCTCTCCAGATCTTTGCATCATATAAGAGTTGTATTTAGAATGGACTTCACTGACCGTATAAGTGTCAGCTTACAGCTCCACTCTTATATAATATATATACATATGAATAAGATCATTCGCATCTTATGGGATTTGGGCATAGCATACGAATTAGGAGTCAAACTCAGTTTGTGGCTCTATTGAGTGAATATTTTTATAAATTTTACTATATGAAATAAAATTTTATGACTGCCAAATTAAAATAAAATTTTTAGTAGCAACTTAATATAGACTATGATAGTTCAGTTATATGGCAATTTATTTGATAGTGTTCCTGGAGCTTGTTCAATTGCAAGATAAAAGCCGACTCAAAGCCAATTTCGAGTACATTCTGATTGTAAGTAAATAATATATACATACATACATACATACATACATACATTTATATATGCATATGCTTATCATAAAAGAGTTATATTTAAGAGGCGTATAAGTGCTTATCTGCCGGTAAGGCTGACTATAGTCGTATATTATGTGAACGTCTTTGTGGATATTATTGATTGATTGCGGGTACTGTAAATGTGTAGGTGCTGCTTCCTGTATATGAGATTAATAATAATACATATATTTCTTATAATTCTGATATTCTCATCTAGATTTCTATACCCTCTTGAGTCAAACACACTCTTATATGAACCATGTACTAAATAATGTTCAATCATAAAAATGAATCTATTTTTTTCCAATTATAACATGATATCGATGATATATATAATTGGAATGATATGATTATATTTGTTTGTGTATGTGTGAGTGTGTGGCATGACGTGTATCTAGGTTGAAATCATAGCTATGGCACCTCGGTCGTGATAGATAAGACCCACATGAAGTATATGCTGAAAATCGTGGTTAATATTCATCGGTCTCCTTTTGAAATTTAAGCTCTTAAGTTCATTTTTAAGTTATGCGGATTTCAACTGTCAATACAGTCACATAGTCATATATCAATTTTGATGTACGACTACAACTAAAATGGAACATATCGAACTGTACTTAAGTAGACCAAAATAGAACGGTTTGTTATCAGTATAGCAGTTGGTGGCCATGATGATATGTGAGTATACGTATGTATGTATGTATGTAGATAGAGCTGTACTTTCACCTGATAGCCAGTAAAAAATGAAAGAAATTTCGATATTCATATAACAGTCAGTGCTATTATGAATTATTTGTTATACTGCAGATATAGTTTTAGGAAACGAATAAAAATATTACTATTAAATTGTATAATAACTATGATGAACAGTTATAGCCGTTATACGGAAAATGTTATACTGTATATGTTATGTTGTGGTGTTTTAACTGTTATACTGAATTTGAAGCATACGAGACTGGCACAAATATAACAATTTTAGGTCAGGCAAGGAATTAAACTTTCACTTCGAAAAACTTGTATGTATAACAGATACTCTTATAGTCTCTTAGTCATATTTTTATAGGTCACTGTTTTTACTTAAAAACTTTTCAGATTTAACTCAAGATATTGTTGATATATATATATATATATATATATATTCGCACTGGTATAATCCATTCAATCTAGTTCATGTGATTGTAATCCTTTGCTCAACTCCTTACCCATTTTGTTTATTGTATGCGTAGGTTCTAGATCTATCGATCTCGATTCGATATGTCCGTAACGTTCTCTACGTAGTTACTATAAAGACTGACTGGATGTGCCAGCTGGCAGTTGTGTTATAAAGTGCGGAATTTTCCTTATCAGTCACAAAACAACAAAAAAAGAGGAATAAAACAGTTAACTGTTTTTTGTTGTTCTTCTTTTGCGCTCAGTTAAGCGACTACGATAAGATAACCTAGCGTTGCTTGGGAGACATTTTCCGAGTAAACATTTCCGAGCGACTGTCTGATAAATACATATACATATATACATATATGAAGAAGGGCTAGGCTATTCGTCATCAAAAGCAACTTGCAAAAGTTGTTCTCGAAATATGTCTTTCTAGACGTGTTTTATACTTGGCGTAATCAATAAATAAATGGTTTTTATCTGGTTTACTTAATATTAGGCCGCTCTTATCTTTTGAGCGATCGCTTGATTACCTCTTATCATTGATTAAAATCGGTTTTATTTTTACCTTGACTATATAAAATAAAAGCACCTTAAAATCGTCTTGAGCTTGGTATTTAATTCGAATTTCGAACTTATTGCTCACCCATTTTCGATATCCGCTTTTCGCTTTCTCTGCTCTCGCTGGGAACTGTACTTCAAATGCGAACTTTTACATTAAAATTTTTGCTTTTAAGCACTGAGCTCCTTAAAAACAGCGCTTTTATCTGAAATAACTGCAATGAATATTACGCTTGCCCGCACTTTCGCAATTTTATGGAACCGAAAGCCACAGCTGTTTCTGTTTGAGTTTCTGCTTCTGTTCTTAGCCCTTTAATAATAGCATCTGGTTTGACTTTGACTTCGCTCTCGACTCATAGCACCTGACTCACCCAGAATTTAATTTCAATTTGAACAGCAGTAACCCCGCTTGCTATGCCTATAAATAGAATCGATGACAATTCAGAAAATTTTTAGAAAAATTTAAAAAATTAAATAAAACAATAAATAGTGATAACACTGATATTTAATTTATAGAGTCTTAAAGGTTAAATACTTAATGATAATGTGATGGGCCATAAATCGAAATAAGGTTGCAAAGAATTTTGTAGCAAAAGAAGAATGTATTATCTATAGATTAGAAAAAGTACAAATCGAGCAGAGTAAAAAGTTAAATGTGAGTTTTCTAGTATACTCTAGTGACTTCTCAGAAGGATCCCATGGACTTCGCTTACTCAGCATTTAGTTTAAACAAACTAGTCATAATTATTTCGACAGCTATTTGCTGTAGATATTTCTAAATTAATGACTCTAACACCTGTTCACAAACAAATCAGAAGTTATCTACAAAAAAAAAAAAAAAAAAAAAAAAAAAAATTCCCCATCAGTTAAATGAGTCAGAACAGACTGGAAGAGCTTTTGCTTTTTATATTGGAAATGATAAACAAGTGCCATAAGTCCCCAAACTATGCGCACTGATAAGATTCTGTTGCTGTCAATAACACGCAGAATGCACTGTGAAAAAGCTCATCGATTAAAGGCCTAAGCGAGTGGAGCGGCCAAGTTCTAGCTGATAAAAACTACAAAACCTTTTGCTACGCCCGCTGCGAGTGTTAGTACTAGATCATACTGCGGACTCGACGGTTGCGTCCAGTGGAACAAAACGAATATAACAGAGATATATGTACATATATTTACATACATAAATATATACATCTATATAAATAGCAATAGATATAAATAATCGAAGACAACCGCCTATCAGTTGGAAAAGTGAATCATGGGTATGTTATGAATAAACGATCATAAAAATAAGTTAGATGTATATAATATATGTTGGTATATAGACAAATTGATGTGGGAAAAACTCCATTTAACACTATTGAAAGTGATGAAAACTTGATATATTCGATAAATGCATTTATATACATATGCATATGTGTATATATAGACGATTTACTTGATTAGTGCAAGTGGATAGTAAGACATTGTGCAGGAAAATAAAATTGTGCGATATATTCAAGAAAAATGAGAGCTCAATAAATATTCGATAACAAGTCAAAATTGATACCTGCATATAAAATAAATTTGTTAGATGTATAATACAGTCTATATCTATTGGTGATATATGTAAAGTATAGTTCGATATACTACATGTATATTATTATGATATATATTGTATATCAACTATTCGATAAAGTAATAATATATTAATGTTCAATACATATCCGATAAGTTGAATAATTGCAAATGCCTTAAATATATTATAATATTCTCAATCATAGTTATATATATATAAATGATACACTTAGCTATCTATTTATTCAATAACTGCATTTTTCGATACACATTCGATCAAGTATATATATCAAGTATATATGGTTCGATATTTATTTCATATACATACGCTATAATCGATATATATCTATATCTATATCTATAATTTATATGATGCAAGGAAGGTTACTATGTAGACCTAATCGATAAATTTATATACTTAGATATATGTTTATTAAGTAAAGATCGATATAGAGTCAAGTTAAGCTTTAGAGCTAGAGACCTGTGTAAGTGGTTTATGGACAAGTTCCTGATTTGTCTCTTTCCCTCTATCTCTCTTTCTCTCTCTCTCTCCCTATCGGCGGCACTTGTTTTAGGTGCCGTACAGCCAGGAGCAGTTGTGACTATTGGTAGGCGAGTGCAAGAAGTGTTCAATCCGAAAACGCAAACAAAATAACAAAAAAAACACGAATTTGAAATTCCAAAATTTGATAAAGCTTTCCGTTTGACTACCTTTTGCACTGCGTTATCAATGCTATATCTTATCTACGCTTATCATTGGATACGGCTAATACAGACCTCCCTCCATCCGTTGCAGAACACACTTGGGTGCACTCGACTCCATATGCCGCACTGCCTCCGTACGCTGTCGTTGGTGGCCACGACGCCGATGGCACGCCCATCTATGTGGGCCGCTCGTTCCACGAGGGCGAGAACCTGCCCGCCAAGGTCATACCGAGCAAAGGTTGCGCCTATGTCGCCTACGGCGGCACCGAACACAAGAAGACCCACTACGAGGTGCTCGTCGGCCAGGGCTTCGCCTGGGTGGGCAGCGCCAGCGGCGGTGTGCCACCGAATGCGGTGAGAAGCGGCACCACCCGCACCGGCGAGCCACTCTATGTGGGCCGCGGCCACTATGCGAACTCGTTGTGCGTGGGCAAGGTGCATCCGTCGCACGGCTGCCTCTACATACCGTTTGGGGGCCAGGAGGTGCGCATCAACACCTACGAGGTGCTCATCCACCAGCCGCAGGATGTCTGGGTGCCGGCCTCAGCTAGCTATACGCCACCGGGCGCTGTCATTGCCGGCCACGACTCGGACCGTACGCCCATCTATGCGGGTCGCGCCATGCACGAGGGTGAGATGCTGCCCGCCAAGGTAGTGCCCAGCAAGGGCACCGCCTACGTCTGTTTCGGCGGCTACGAGTTCCAGAAGCCCACCTACGAGGTGCTCACCGGCTACGGTTACTCATGGATCCGGAGTCCTCACAGCATACCGCCAAATGCCGTTAGCACCGGACGCGCCCGCAACGGCGATCCCATCTACTATGGTCGCGGACACTACCAGGGCAGCCTGACACCGGGTCTGATCTCCTCGCGACAGCGCTGCCTCTACATACCCTATGGTGGACGTGAAATACGAATCGATTCGTATGAGGTGCTATGCAGGCAATAGGCGATATATATATTCGATATATATGGCGATATATATTTGAATTTTTTTAATCACTTTTATAGACTTTAAGTCGTACTTTTGCTTATTCCAGATTTTGTATAACTTGTATAATTTAATAAAGAGTGCGACTGCTTATATAACACCTTACATATCCGAATTTTACTTTACTTTTATATACATATATATTCTCTATATATAAGCTCTCTATTGACCTTTGCTATACTGATTATATATTCCTATATATCATTTCACTTATCTGTTGAGCATTTGAATATGTAAAAACCCAAGTTGAAGCTACATATTTGAAAATGTTTCCAAGTTTGCTATGTAGTTCAAAAGCTTTCCAGGCAATCGATCAATTTTGGTCTACATGAGTCGTAGAAGTTCGATTAGGGTTCATCATATATCAAATTCTCATATATGTATATTTCTGCGTAGTGAATATAAATAATATTTTAGAGTTGTTTGTCTTCTATCTTTTTTTAGAATATATGCTACATAATACTATAAATCTACTTTCATTTACGTAGGTCTAATATTAGAAAGCAAGTAAGAGCTTTGTCGGTGGTTGAGTCAGCAAACTAAATAGTGTATATTATTCAGATAAGCAGATATATATAATTATTTTGCATATTTTATATGTTTATGGATAAACAATAAACTTGTTTTATTTAAAAGAAAATTTAGTGTTTATATTTTAGTTAGATTAAGTACGAATCATACCGTATATTCAAGAATTCGAGTATATGGAGATATCATATATGTAAAAGTGAGCGCTTTCTGATAGTAATGACGAAAATGACAACGAAAGTGGTAAGAGTGAAGAGATTAGAGAAGATAAAACTAATAATTGTAGTGATAATAATTGTTGATAAAGCTGATAATGCTGACGATGATAATGAGGGAGAAGATGATGATGCTGCTATTGTTTATAAAGATAATGACAATGATGATGATGAGGATGAACTATGATAATAGTGTTGATGAAGTTACGTTAGTTATATTGATGGCAAAGGATGATCATCTTTAAAGATCAAAAAGAAAAACAGAATACTAAAGAATCTATAGAAAATAAAACTTTCTGCTACAAAGAAGTCAAGGAACTTACCACTTATATAGATTTTAGTCCATGGTAGTTTTATATGATTATCATTATAAACTTGTATATACATATATTGTATATTATTTCTATTCTTTATTCATTTCATTTCACTCTCCTTTCAGTCTACAAATGGGTTCAATCGTCGGCGTATTCGTCGATACCGCCAAACGCCATTGTGGGTGGCAACGATGAGGACGGCGCCATGATCTATGTGGGCCGGGCGGAGCACGAGGGCGACATGCTCGTCTGCAAGGTGATGCCATCGAAGCAAATCGGCTATATTTCGCAACGGGGCGAGGCTCTGCCCAAGGACATATTCGAAATACTGTGCGGCGAGAATCTGGTGTGGGTCAAGTGCTACGACCACGTGATACCCGAGACGGCGGTGCTCTGCGGTCGCACCAGCCTCGAGCAGCCGGTGTACATTGGCCGTGGGCATTACGAGGGTCACCTGATCATCGGCAAAATATCCTCAGTGCATCGCGCGCTCTTCATAGCCTATCGCGGTGCGGAGCGACGTTTGGATTCGTATGAGATATTGATAGAGGAGCGAGGCGCCACGCCTGGCTGGCAGCTGCCCCCACCACCGGATGCATTGGAGTTGGCCGAGAAGTGTCCACCGACACCGCCACCGCCACCGCCACCAGCGGTGCTGGCTAAGCCGCCAGTGGCACGCAAGCCGTATCCCTATCCGCCGGACTTTGATACGTCCGCTTTCTCTCTGCAGGACAGACCGCCACAGTATACGCCCATGCCGATGCCCTCGCACAGCACAGTTCCGTATCCAGCAGCAGCAGCACCACCACAACCACTACCACCGCCAGCAGTTCCAGCCATGGCACCACCAACGCCCAGCATCTTGCCGGAGTATAAGCGCCCGCTGGCTGTGCCAGTGCCCATTCCGGCCAAGCCCTACGGCATGCCACCTTCGTATACTCCCGCTGCCGTCGCACCACCCAGCACCCACCATGCGGCCACCATTGTGCCCGCGGAGACATATAAGCCGCCCATGAGCGTGGATCCCTATGGGCCCAGCTGCTCCAGCTACACGCCCGCCGTGTGCGCCCCAGCCGCAACGACCAGCTACGATCTGTGGATGGCCGCCAGTCCTGGCTATACTCCGCCAGATGCCGTCTATGGTGGCCACGATACCGACATGGCACCGCTGCTCGTCTGTCGCGCCTACTACGATGGCTCCCATATACCGGGCAAAGCGGCGCCGAGCCGGGGCTGCGCCTACATCACACATGCCGGCCGGGAGCTGGTCGAGTCGCGCTACGAGGTGCTCATCGGGCAGGCGAAATACCATTGGGTGCCCGGCTACGATGGCAGCATTGCGGCCGGCGCTGTGGAGGCGGGTCGCGCCTTCAATGGCGAGCCTCTGTACATTGGCCGCGCCCACTACTGCGGCAGCCTGACGCCGGGCAAGATACAGCAATCGCATCGCTGTCTGCACATTCCGTTCGGCGGGCAGGAGGTGCGCATCACCAGCTACGAGATACTCGTACGCAGCGACATCTATCATCGTCAGCAGGCCATCAATCTGAGCTATTGAGTTGGGGCAGGAGGAGAGTATATATATATTCAAGAGCAGCTACCTCAAAAAGAGACATAGAGGAATGAAATATAAGAGTAGTCAAATAAGAGAAAAATCAAAAGAATAATAAATATCTATTCATAAAAATCTATCTATATATTTGGTTCCAAAAGCACATACATATATTTCAATTTTAAATCAACATTACCTAATTTCAATTACTAAAGACTAAAGAAGAGATGAGTAAAGAGCAGAGCTCCCTTATTCTATTACCTAAAATCAGAAGACAATCTAATTGTTTAAATTGCTCTATACTCTAAAGGGATCTATAAGAAATATATTTTCTTTATGAAATAGGACCAACATGTCTAACACACCTCTTTACGAAAAACTATCTAAAATATATTGTATGTTAGGTATTTCTATAAACTGCTCTCATATAACTCTAAAATCTACTACAAAATGTTTTTTGTTACTATAAAAACGAAACTGAAATATTTGAAATTGTAAATCCATCCATATATTGCCAGGCAGCTAACTCCAAAGAGCGATTGTACCTTACTATAAAGTTGCAATTGTATATACCTATATATACTATCATATAAACATGTTACCATTGTACATACATATTTATATTCATATACAATATATAATGAAATAAACATATTTATTTTGAATGGGAAACATCTGAAACGTCTTCAACGTTCCATGTTTTTCTAAAGTTTTTATTTTTCGTCTCTTTTTTATAAGTATACCATCTGCACGGTCGTAAAAGACGTACTTCCTATATTTAGCTCATAAAACTGTAATAATAAGCAACTTTAGCCTCGGCCTAGCTGACAGTTGGAGTTTACCGACCTCTTCTCGCGTTTTTATATAGTGCGAAATTCGTACTTCCCATCTCATTTATTTTAACCCACTGCCAGACATAACATTTATTTTAAAGAAAAATCCCACAGTTGGTATCTCAGCTGATTAATCCAATTCCCGCACGTGCCACTTATAAATATTACCCAAAATGATGCCAATTAAAATCTGACTAATATCGGATAAGAATAATCCGAATGCCTTGCCCAGCTCTATTTAACATTCGGCTTCGGAATCACGTCTAGATTGAAGGTAATTACTATATTTACCTGTAAAGAGATGTTTCTATTAACCTGTGTATATCAAAATCCTTGTATTTGATCTATTTGCGAAAAATATATATCTATATGTATCTATGTATATATGTATCTATGTATCTATGTATCTATATATCTATATATCTATATATCTATATATCTATATATCTATATATCTATATATCTATATATCTATATATCTATATATCTATATATCTATATATCTATATATCTATATATCTATATATCTATGTATCTGTGTATCTATGTATCTATGTATCTATGTATCTATGTATCTATGTATCTATGTATCTATGTATCTATGTATCTATGTATCTATGTATCTATGTATCTATATATCTATATATCTATGTATCTATGTATCTATGTATCTATGTATCTATGTATCTATGTATCTATGTATCTATGTATCTATGTATCTATTTATCTATGTATCTATGTATCTATGTATCTATGTATCTATGTATCTATGTATCTATATATCTATATATCTATATATCTATGTATCTATGTATCTATGTATCTATGTATCTATGTGACTATTTATAGCTATATATTTATATATGTAAGTAAATATCTACATAAGTATCTATTGTATTGTTATATTAAGGTGCCTGTCTTATAAACTACATACTTACATTCTTTTGTTTACCCCGAGCTATCTATATATGTATATGCACATACATGGTTGTTTACCTACGCAAAACAGCTATGATTCTGACATGACCAAGTCAATTTAGAAACGTCACTCAGATCGCTTGCTCAGCGCGAGGTATTTCCCAGGTAAATCCCAATTCGCGATTCTCGCCCGAGTATAAATATCATGGCCTTAACTAGACTCGAGCTCAGTTCCCTAGCCTTTGGGCAAGCATTCAGTGGCACAAGAATATTTCACCATTCAGTATTATTCTAGAAGAGCTGTTAAGTATTTCATCAATCTATAGAAAATTACGGTAACTAACCTAACTGCGAACGCTAGCAGACATCACACAGATATTCGCTTGTTTCGCTGAAATATTTTTTTGATAACCTTGATATTTGTTATTGTTTTTCTTCGTGTTTTATAATGTTTATAAATTATATTATTCGTCTCATAAAGGTATTGTGCACGTTACAGATAAGTACCACCGACTGCTCCACAAAATTGAGTTATGAGTGAATTACATAACAGTATAAAATAGGGACATACGCAATAGACTTTTATATAGAGAATTTTTATTAATTTTTTTGTGCTATAAAATTAAATATTATTAAATATTTGCATTAAAAAAAATTCATCAGAATGTTTTATCTAATAGTTAATGCTTGTACAAAAACTTCCTTAAATTGAGCTTTCTTTCATTCCATATCCTTGTTGCACAGTGTAATTGTACCCTTTTTATTAAGTGTCTGATTGCTGTCATAATTTCTGTTCCGCTACTCGCAAAAAATCCTATTTGTGAACGAACCAGTGTTTTGTTTAGTATTTTATTTTATTTGTTTCTGTTTTGAGTTCCACTAAGAGTTTTATATATTTATATAGATAAAGTGTAATATTTGTTGTGTTTAGGTTTTTTTGTCTTCTTTTGGTTAGTTCTTGTCTTCTTGAGACCACATGTGAACCTGCAATGCCGAACCGGTTCCACAACTTTTTACAATAAAGGTGAAGCTAAGCTAAAGCAATTTTTGGATTGCATATAGAACAAATGGCCTACGAACTAGTTCATGTTGCCTATATTCGATTTCCAGAACCATAAAAAATAATATACTTTATTTATTTATTTTATAGGATATTGCATATTCCTACTAGTTCCATTAAGTTTAGTTTATTTTAATGGTTCCCCATATATAAGAAATTCTTCTATACATTATATTAAATAGGTATTTCATATACACTTCGCGTCATCAGGTTAGCGCCCCCCCTTACACTCATTTTCTTTTACGTTTTTCTCTTTGCCTATTGCACACAACTTCTTGGTTTTTTTTTTATTTCATTATCATCATATGAGATGTCTCTCATACCAAGAAAAAGCGCGAGTGAAAACCCGTTATGTTTTATTTTCTATCCTTCTCTATTTTCGCAAAAAATGTGTGCACTTATTTTGCGTCATCAGATTAGCGCCCCCAAATGCAATTGTAATTATCTTGCTTATTTTGGCAATTACACTCACCAAATTTCAAAGTATTCAATATATTTATAGTATGGGTAAAGAAACAGTTTTATCTTTGGTTGAAAATCAAAGATTGAGGCATACTTTGAATCTAGACTATGCAACCATAAAATTGCTGAAAAATCAGGAAAAAACAGAAAACTAAGTGGCAATTTTCTTACAAATAGGGAAAACTATGGAAAAAACTATATAAGCGGTAATAATCAAGTGATTTCAGAAGGAAATAGAAGAGCATTAGTTCGAGAAGCTTCGAATTCCCACGAATCGACCACCAAGATTAGGGTTAAAATCAGTGTTAGGACGAGCTTATCAACGGTCTAAAGAGCAATTAAGAAAGTTAATTACTTAAAGAAACAGAATGTAAAAAAAAAAGACACCAGTCGATATGCTGAGAAAAGAAATAGGCATTAATTTTGGCCGGGCGAATAGGACGTGGTCTACCCAATGGCAGCATGTTGTCTTTTCTGATGAGAAAAATTGAATTTGGAAGGAACTGATGGATATAATTATTATATCCATGACCTACTCATAGAAGAACATTATTTGGAACGGTTTCCAAGCCGCTGCGGCGGGGGTGGTGTGGCATTTGTGTAGGTATCAATATCTTACTACAGCGCTTGTAAGCTTCAATTTTTGACATCGCGCATGAACGCATAGGACCATAATATCGTGTTTAAAACTGCTGTTCCGCATTTCTATAACCTGTCTGAAAACCGGCATTAGATTTTCCAGCATGATAATGCCCCAATTCAGACCGCCCGATCCCTGAAGTCCTGGATTCAGGGCCAAAAAATTGATCTCATGGAGTGGCCACCATACTCACTCGACCTTAATATCATTGGAAACGTCTGGGGATGGTTGGTCAGGAAAGTATATGAGTCCGGAAAGCATTATAGTACAAAGACAGAGTTAATCGAAGGTACTGAACACGCTTAATCAACCATATCCTTGAATAATATTGAACAACTTTATAATTCCATTCCTAATCGAATTTTTTAAGTAATTTCAAACAAAAAACGGCACTACGCACTACTAATATTACTTAAAAATAACAATAGCTTAAAATAGAGGTGTTATTTTTGGTAATTAACTTAAATAAATTGAATTTAGCGCAGGGGGCGCTAATCTGATGACCAAATTTTTGTTACATGTTTTTTGTACATTTTACAAAAAAAATTATTAAAAAATAATTCTTATTGTTACAGTAGCCATTCTTTTTGTATTTTAAAGAGAAATAAATGGAGTATAATGTAAAAAAATTTCAAAGATGGAGCTCTGCTGGTTTAGATTTTATTTAGCTTTGAGGTTGAGTGTAAAGGGGGGCGCTAACCTGATGACGCGCAGTGTATATTAGTTACACTTGGGTCAAGCTTCGTCTCTTTAATTGATTCCTGGTAGATGATCTACAGCTCGCAATGCATCGCATATAAAAGACCACTTAAGATCTGCTCTGTATAATTATTTATATGCTGACGAATCTTACAAGGAACACAGAAAAAGGGAATTTATCTTAGCTGAGGTAATTCCCACAGCCGACTCGTCGGCTGACTTTCTTTGCATGCTGCGTGATCTGTATACGTAATGCAGGCCGAAACCCGGGAAATATTTTGATGCAAAAAATAAAAAAAAAAACACTGGATTTGAGCTCTAAGAATTTTGCGCACAGTCACCATCTAGAGGTAGTTAGCCTGGTGCCGCAATAGTTCGCATGTCAACAACGAGAGTGGGCGTGGCTGCACGAGAGGCGTGACGGAACGATAAGGCGAAAGCAACTAACGTGTGCTGTTTGCTATCATTCGAATTTGTTTATACCGAGCAGATGGTAATACAATTGTTTTTTATCAGTTTTCTTATTGTTTTATTTTCGCCAACTCATTGTTTTTTTTTTTTTTTTTGTCTTTCGTATTTCATTTTTTACTCTCGTCTAATTTAATTGGGGACTCTTTTTTTCGATTATAAACAGTTTTACGATCGTCGCGTCAGGTTCTTGTATCAAGTGTTTGCCTTTGCCTTTATGCTTAACGATCCGAGCCGAGCTGTCGTGTGTGTGTGTGTGCATTCATATACTACTTTATGACGACACTCTGGTAACCGAGGCCTCGTCGCAGGCGGCTTCTTACTGGTTTCAACAGTTCCAATTTGGATCGCGTGCTGTCGAGATGCAAAAGTATTTGCTGCCGGCTGCCTCCAAAAAGACTCAGCAATCGCATCGTGAGCTCGCGAGCCCAGCTTGTAAAGCCCATTAAATATAAAAATATAACAAGAATTTAAAATCGAAAAAAGGAAGACAAGAATTTAATGCTTATCATTAGCATACAGAAATCGTGAATATTTACTATACTATATATAGGTAATTGTCCAGTAAAAAAGTGTTTATTCAGATTGTGCAATACAATAAGAATTTTTGAAATATTTATATACATATATGTATGT